GGATATGGTCTGCCATGATGACAGGGGGCCAGAGCTATGGAGCTGAAGCACTTTTCAGAAAAACTATGAGCTCACTTCCAGGTTTATTGCATCCTCTGTCCAGCTGTCTTCACTCTTGTGCTGCTGGGTCCCATCTCTCTCTCAGGGTACCCACTGGACTTTAAATGGCCCCTCCCTGAGGGTGCTGGTAAATAAAGTAGTTCTGGCTGCAACCAACCCACCTATTACCTCCTCTTATCTGATATGCTCTAGGCAGCCTGTCCGGTTTACTGGACAAGGGTTGAATTAAGACCCGCCCTTGTTTGTGGAACTGGGGGTGGGGAGCAGTAAAGCCAGGCTTCAGCAGGGAACCAAATAACTTGGTGTTTGGGAACCAGCCTCCTATCAAAACAGGGAAGAGGATTCACTTGCTGCACAACTAGGTAGCCTCTTAGACAGAGTTCCAACATTTTTCTTGCCAGCCCTGCAGATAAATGGTATGGAGAGGCCAGAGAGCTGGGCTTGCCTTTCTCCCCTTTTTCATTTATTTCTCTTCTGGGAAGAGATCTATTTGTGGGATGTGATCCCATAGATAGGCAGAGCTGAAGCCAGAAGTTGCTAGTGGAGAAATCCTCTCCCCACCCATTTTATGTGGACCTGAGCACGTAGCCCAGTTTGGTATTAATCCACAAGCCTACCAGCAGAGCCAGCAGAGCCAAGAGGTCAGGTGCCTCAGGAGGACACTGTACATTTCCACAAGAAGGACAGAGATCAGTAGTGATCAGTTAACTTTCTTTCAGCAGGCACTTACAGAGTTACTACTACAGGCGACATACGACACTAGCAAGAGCTTTCTGACTGTGAACATTTTGAAACAAAGAACTGAAGAATCATTTTTCTAGAGGAGAGGCCACCAGCTGCTTGGATGGTGTTAACTGCAACCATTCTTGAAGGTGTTAGTAGGAACTATTACTCTATTTATTTATTTGGGTGCTGGACCTTGTTTTACCACTAAGTCACAACTCTCATCCCTATTAGGTTTAGTAATGGTTTTCTTCCAGTTATCCACAGCCATACATCCTTCATCTCAGGACCAGTTCAGAGCCATTGAGGAAATGAGGTTAACTTCTCTCTGGAGCAATAGTTTGCATTTATTGACACTTAATGTGCCAGGGGGTTAGGAATGTGATATAGCACTTGCCCAGCATGCTCAAGACCCTAAGTTTGGTCTCCAGCACCATAAAAAACCAACAAACTAAAGCCAAAGGGCTAGAACTAGTCTAGGTAGTTTATGGATATCATTTAATCTTTACAACATTTTGAAATGGGTCCCTTTCTCAGTCCCATCTTACACCTGGAGAAACTGAGGCCCGTTTAGTGACATGCCCCAGGTTGCTCAGCAAGGTGGTAGAGCTGTGATGGACCCTCGCAGGCTGCTCCACCAGAGCCTGGGGTCCTGACCTCCTGCAGGGTTGCCTCACTGAGCCTGGAGACTGAAAACTTAGTAGGCAGGAGTCTGACCTGAGATTATTGCTCCCTTTTCCAGCCCAAATGACTTTCCAGTTGGACTAATTAAAAAGAATGATAATAATGGTGCTAAAATGCCCTCCAGGACTGCCCAGATAATGGGGATGATTTCGACTCAAAAGCTGAGGGAAAGGACAGAGGTCATTTCCATTAATTCAACCTCTCAGTTTCTAAGAGAGTAAAAGCTGGAGTGAGGGTTCAAACTCAGACAGCTAGTTGGGGGAATGAACCTGGACCCCATGCCATACATTCTCCCAGCCTCAAACTCTGCCACACTTCATTAAGCCAGGGATGCTGGTGCCGGCCTGGAGGCGCGGAGCTTGAGTCTCCACTATCTTTCCTCACCAAAGGCCACTATAGCAGCCCATGCTAGACCTGAAGAGGTGGTTTCTTCTTTCTAGGGCTTGTTTGTTGCAGCATCAAGGACTCCCCCACCCAAAACTCTTTATCAGGAACTAGGATGGGCTCTTAATCTGCAGCTGCCAGGACCTTGTCTATGCTCTCTGGGGAAGTGCATTATCATGCTCCAACAGCTGAGTGAACAGGGGTTGCCAGCTGACACTGTTTACCCTGTAGGAAGCCTGAAGCAGAACAGACCAACCTAGACCTAGTCCCTGAACACAGGAAAGCCACCACCTGCTACTCCTCAAGCAGTCCCAGGGCCATGCCCCGTCTATGCCAGCTGGCCAAGAGGTACTGTCTGCCCCTACTGACCCTGATTAGATCTAAAATAAATAACACATTGGTCACAGAACCCTGTCATGTAAATTGAGGAACTATCAGTCTGCCAAGATCCTAAAGCAATCCCAAGACAAATCTGCCACGGAAGATACAGAGGGTGAGATGTCCCCTCAACCTCCAGACAACCTTCCCTGAATTTTAGGCTTCCACTGAACAATGAAATGTTCTTCATTACTGGGCCTCTTAGGAAACAAGAAGAAGGAACCAGGCACAGTGACACACACCTGTAATCCCAGTATTTTGGGAGGCTGAGGCAAGAGGATCACAAGTTCTAAATCAGCCTCAGCAACTTAGTGAGACCCTAAGCAATTTAGCAAGACCCTGTCTCAAAATTAAAAAGGGTTGGGGATGTGGCTAAGTGGTTAAGTGCCCCTGAGTTTAATCCCTGTTGGAGGGGGGAGCAAGATGGAGGCTGACTTTGTACTAAACTTTGTACCCCAAAATAATAGCACACCAAGATGGGCAAAACTTACTAGTCTCTAACCTTGTCCTTACATCCAAAAATGAATACCTAGGATATCTGTATTAGAAGCTACAAATGAAAAGAGGCTGTTCCTTGAAATAGCAGCCCCTTGAGCCAGATGCAGTGGTGAAAGCCTGTAATCCCAGCAATTTGGGATATGAAGGTAGGAGGGTCAAAAGTTCAAGGCCAGCCTCTGCAACTTAGTGAGAACCTGTATTAAAATAAAAGAGCTGGGGCTGGGGATGTGGCTCAAGCAGTAGTGCGCTCGCCTGGCATGCGTGCGGCCCAGGTTCGATCCTCAGCACCACATACAGACAAAGATGTGTCCGCCAAATATTAAAAAAAATAAATATTAAAATTAAAAAATAAATAAATAAATAAACTGAATTAAAAAAAAAATAATAATAAAATAAAAAATAAATAAAAGAGCTGGGGATTTAGCTCAGTGGCAAAGTATCCTTGGGTTCAATCCCTAATACCAAAATAAATAAAAAATGCAAAATAAATTAACAACAGCCCCTTGATATGAGTGGACCCCCTATTTTATTTACGACACAGATGTCCTGGCCTGCTCCATCCCCAGCCCTTGCACTCCTACTATTCTCATCCTACATAAGCACCACACCCAGCTCTCCTAATCTACCTCTGACCTAGCACACTAGGACAAGCCACATGTTTGCCTCTGAGGGCCACAAAGGTATGAAATGAAATGTGGATGGGGTGGCACTGGTCATGAATGAAGATGCTTAAAATTCAGTTTAAACACAGCCCATTTTTGTTTGAGGCTGAGGCAGGAGAATCAAATTTGCAGCCAGCCTCAGCAAATTAGCAAGGCCCTAAGCAGGTTAATGAGAATCCTGTCACTAAATTAAAAAAAATAAAAAGGGATGGGGGTGTAGCTCTCTGGTGAAGCATCCTCTCCGTTCAATCCCCAATACCAATAAAACAAAATACAATGCAACCCATCTTTGGCCAAGAAAAAACTAGCCCAGGTCAAAAATGTGCCTGTAACCTCAGCAGGAACTGGGGCCTGTGTCAAAACCTCACAGGATGATAGACTGTTCTCATTTCCACGTATAGCTCCTATGCCTATGGCCACAGGGAATTATAAATTGTTAACAAACCCTTGGCTCTCGCATCAGCTATGCATCAGAAGTGGCCGTTCTTTAGCTAACTCGTGGCATTGGCAATCTGCCACGTTTGGCTCCAGTGCATGGATTCCTAGGCCCAACTGCTCTTGTCTAATTAGGCAAGAATGGCAGGTAGCAAATGGCAGCTGCAAAGATGTGGTCATTCCCAGAGCCTTTACTGGGAACTGCAAACAATCCTGCCCACCCCCGTGATCGCCACCCCTCATCCATAAGATAGGCAATGTCTTATTCATTTTTAATATTTTCAGGGCTGCTTAGGACTTACTGACAATAGTTATGTGGCTCAGAATATTCAGGGGATGGGTTCTAGGAGCCCCTGCAGATACCAAGATTCATGAATGTTCAAGTCTCCTATATAAAATGGCATAGTATTTCTAAGGAACCTAAACATATCCTCTGTATACTTTAAATCATCTCTAGATTACTTATAACACCTAATACAACATTTAAGTGCTATGTATAATTGTTACACTGCATTGTTTAGGGAATGGCAAGGAAAACATGTCTGTACATGTCCAGTGCAGATGCAGTCACCATAGGTCTAACTACATAGTACATGAAGCAGATGTGAAGCAAACGATGCCTGAACAAGTACTAGAGACTGAAGATCTAAGAAAACGGGGAGAGGTTAGAGCAGGGCGGGCCTACACGTCATGGACTCAGCATCATACATATCATGTGGCAAATTCAAGTACTGATTTTGGAACATTCTGGAATTTTTTTTTCTGATTAATTTCAAGCTGTGATTGAATCCGTGGATGCGGAATCCAGATATGAATGGCTGACTGTGCATTTGCTGAATAAATGACCAAATGAAACTAAGGACTACCAAGAACTAGAGGCATAAGATGGAGACTGGCTAGACTAAGGAATGTTCAGACCAGAAGGACCCTGTTTCTTCTAGTGTTTTCTCATGGGATTGTGAGGGTACACACGAAAGATGGGAAGGAAGGAGCTACTTCCCAGGAAAGAGATGCTTGGAAATGGCCTAACTGCACACCTAGGCTTTCTTTTTATTCCGTCTACATGCTGCACGTTTTCTCAATGCAACTGAAGAGAAATATGAAGAAACATAAAGGACTTGGACCTGAGAAGGAAATGCAAATCTGTATGGCAATTTTACTTCTCTACACCACAGGTCTTTATCTGCTACATTTTTATTAAAGTAACAAAAAAAAGTGTACATTTGTCCATAAAGCTATACATTCTTCCATATAAAAACACTATTATACAATTAGTAACCTTTGTCTTTTCTGTCTGAATAGCTTACAAATGCACTATTATTATTTTTACTTAATAGGAGAGACAGGTCTGCTCAACAGTCCAGCTCCAGATTGGGGTGGGAGGGTTGTTTTTAAAGTGAACATCAACAAGAAAAGAGAGAAAAGTGTGAGACCAAGAGGCTGCTTCTAAAAAGGCAGGGACCTGTTTGCAGGCAAGATGCAAGAACACAATCTGCAGTGATTCACAGCTTTGTTCCAACCCACAGGCCAGAAAATAGCTCTTGGGTCTATGGGCTGAGTTAACTTTAAAGCAATAAAGACTGGAAGCAGGGCCTGGCAAGGCAGCAGAAAGCTGGAGTGGAAAGGCAGGAATGAGTAGGGAGAGTGTTTGGTAAATAGCACCTTTGAGTTAAAATTGAATAGTTAAATTCAGGGAAGGGGATTAGCAGGCAGTCGGGAGGGAAGCATGGGATAGAGGAAGAAAGAGGGGGAACGGGAATCTTCATGAAGGGGCAACAGCAGGAGGAAACCAGGTTGACCAGATGCTCTAGCTCTGTCCTTAAGGTGATCCGATTTGGGAAACTTGAGGTCTTCTGAGGAGCCCTCCTTAACCACTGAGAAACTGAAGGGAAGAGATTTTTTCCCCGTACAGTTTTCCATTTTTCTCCAACCCAGAAAAGTAAATATTGCACAAGTCTACAGACGAATTTGGATTTTACTATGAGGCAACAAATTCTCCCACAGGTGCTCTGAGCACCAGGGAGAAAAAAATGCCCAAGGTTTGGCTTTTAGTGTCAGCCCTGCAAGAATACCAAGTAGTCCTGCAGAGCACGGGCATCCTCCCCTTCAGCTGAGGAGAGGGGAGGGATGGTTCTCTAAACCTACCAGGGTACCAGGTGTTATGAGCCAGTTCTCCAAAGCCTCCTGGGGCATATTGCACAGTGATTGAGAACTCTTGTCCTAGAAAATAGGATAGCCCGTGACCCAACCAGAAGGGGAGAGGACAGGAGGGCAAGAGAGGAGTGTTGTGCTTTAAAAAAGGCAGTATTGAAAGGACCTGAAGTTCCCTGTAGCTTTTGAGCCACCTTTCAAAGGAATAATTGTAGCAGCATCAGGACTCTCATGTGGTTCCAAAAAGAAGGATTTTGGCCAAAAAACATCCCCAGTGGATACTCTTTGGGTCCCAAAATTCCATTGCAAATCACCCCAAATCATTTACCACACATACACACAAAGCAGCACACAGCAAAGCAAAGGTTTTGTGCAGAGTTCCCTTCCATCCTAACCCCAAAGACCTCCAACCCTAGCCTTAGCATCCCCTCCCGAGGGAGAGAGAAAAAAAAAAAAAAAAAAAAAAGCTTTAGATTCCTAGCTGGGAAACAACCTCTACAGGCCCCAAGGGTAGAATCAGAAAGGAGTCATGATTTCTGAGAAAAGCTGCTTAGGACAGAAGGAATAAGGAGAGGCCTTTTCACTCTGCCCAGATCTCATTAGAAAAATAAGACATTAGGCAACATAGTATTATGGAAGTCCTGGCTTGAAGGCCCCTGAGAGAGAGGAACCAGGAATTCAGGTGACCCAGCTGGGAGGAGAGGTTTTAAACGTCTCCCTGCAGGGCAGATCCTGACCTCTCATTCACAGGTGCTAATCTTGCTTGCTCCCTCTTCTACCTCCTGGGATGCCACCAAGCTTCTCCCTCACCTTGGCTAGGTCTACCCCCCAACCACTCCCCTCCCATAAGCAGACACTGGCTCACAGACTCAAACACACAACAGTTATCTCCAAAGGCACCTGGGGAGGCCACTTCCAAGCAGCTCCCTTTAAGGATTTTTTTCTTTTAAAAAATCTTTTGGTTTTTTTTTCTCCTCTTTTCTTAAAAAAAAATAATATATAATATATATATATATATAAATAGCTCTTCATTTAAAAATACAGTTCCCCAGGTTGAGGTATGCGGTGGCCTGTTGTCATGGCGAATGAGTACAGTAGAGTGCCGGGGTGGGGGCAGCAGGGATCTAGCTGGAGACCGCCATCACGTAGTTCTTGGAAGGGCTGCTCCTGCCCAGCATCATTTGGTTTTTGCAGGTGAGAAGGCCGTAGGAGGCAGCCACCGAAGGCTCCTCATACAGGACACAGATGGAGCCATCCTCTCCTATGCGATAGGACACCTCGTAAGGGTCCACCCACAAGGTCAACTCGCTGGGCAGCAGGCTATGCAACTGGGGCTGGCTGAGTCCAATCTGACTGGCCACCTTGCTGATGATGGGGTCCATCTTGTGGTTGATGCGAATGCAGCGGTAGCCAGAGCCTTTGGATGGCTTTTCTGGAAACCAGTGGTGTTTGTAGTGCTCTGTGGAGAGGGAAGAGAGAGATGCCTGGTTAGAGTTGCTGGGTGGTAGATATTACGAGCTGGGAAAGTGGGTGAAGGGACAGGAGGAGAGGAAGGGGGCCAGTGGCAATTTCAAGTAAGAGAGGTAGTTTCTCTTATGTTCTGAGAGACCCCTTAGCCGCTCCCAGGTCAGGGGTGTATGTGCTAAAAGAGGATCCCAGAGCTCTAGAATACTCTCCAATGGCCAAATGTATTGCTTTTGGCACACCCCCAGTATAAGGAAGGAAGGGTGTGACTGGGCTGGCAAGTCCAGGCAGGGTCTACAGGACCTGTGTGTGAGCAGAAGTTTCAGAGCCACAAAAGCTATCAACATTGTGAGGCCTACAACAAGATCTCCAGCCCCCATCCTGTGCCCAGTGGGCCCCATGCCTCCTTCAGAAGAGTCACACATCCTTAGCAGTGGCCGGGGGAGTAAAAAAATGGATTGTTTTGACGAAGCAGCTGTGTTTGGCAGAAGGCAGGTCCTGTGCGGGCACGTTCACAGATGACTATCTCTGTCTAAGACCGCCAGCCAACAGGCTAGAAACAGCTGGGAGGTAGGTCTCTCCCCAGCCAGCCAGAAGCTGCTTATCTCTACTCAACCTCTCAGTCTCACGCCCGCCTCCCCAACACAACAGGGCCTGGAGCAGTTACTAGCTACAATAGATGGCAGACGGCTAAGAGGGACCAAATAGAAATACAAAAGGGGCCCAGATTCTAACTTCGAGGGAGTTAACAACCCGCAGACCAGACAGGCCCAGCGAAGGCCCGCAGGGCCCAAAGCGTGGCTGGGCCTCCAAGTTGTTAAGAAGGCTTAATTATGCATAAGGACCCCTCGGTTGGGGGGGGGGGCTTCATCGCCCGCAGCACCCCTGGAGGGTTCTCCAGGTCTCAAGGGTCCAGTGAGGGAAATGAACCTTCACTCAGACCGCAGGTTTCCCTTCTTCCGGGTAGAGCCAGAGACTTGGGATAGCACTCCAGGAAAGGGTCTTCGCCCCGGGGACGTGGAGGGGCGCGCTCCATCGGAACCACCTCAGGCCAAGTTCCAAGCTCAGAGCCAGGGAGGGGAGACCAGACCCAGGAGACAGGCAGCTGTGTCGGGGAGGGACAACCGAATCCTGGAGCCGCTCCTTTGGGGGTCCTGACGCGGGAGGGGGAAAGACGCCCCAGGCAGGGAAGAGATCGATCCCCTGTGACGCCAGCCCCTCCGTCGGTGCTCACCTGTTAGTGCCTCCTGGAGCGCCCCACTGAAAACCTTAAGTCTCTGCTCGCTCACGCAGCCCCGGGTCCTCAAGAGGCTGGAGAGGAAGCCCACGGCGGCGGCGATCTCCGGGAGCATGTCGGTGCTCTTCCCGTGGCTCATGTCCTGCGCGGCTCGGGGAGCAGGGAGAGGTCTCTCGTGGGAAGTGCCAGTTCTCCGAGATCCGCTCGCCGGGCCCAGGCTCAGGCTCTGCCCGGACTTTCCCTAGACCGCGCCTTTCATACTGTTCGCGGAGGTGGGGGAGCCGACGGCGGCGCCCATTGGCCACGGCCAGCGGATGGGGGCGGGCCCTCCGCCGCCCCGCCCCGCCCCGCCAGCGCGCGGCAGCTCGCCCCCGCCCGCCCGGCTGCCGCCGCAGCCTCCCCCGCCTCGCCGGCGCTGAGGTCATCGCCCGCTGACGTCAGTGCTGGGAACCTGCGCTGGGCTCGGGAGCCGGGAGCCGAGGGAGGTGTGCGGAGCGAGCTAGCGCCGCGAGGGGGCCGAGAGTGCTCGGCTGAGAAAAGCAGCGTGCTGAGTGGTCCGCTCGGGGCAGGCCCGGACTGGCCTCGCCGCCCACCCAGGCCGGGGTTAAATGCCACCTCCCCCTGGAAGCCTCAATTGCTGCGGCCTCTCCCAAGAGGTCCCCTTTTTTTGATTGCCACAGCGCTTTCCAGCTACACACACAGTCAGAACCACTCACTCGGGCCTCTTATCACCATTCTGTTGCGTTGCCGTGTTTCTTTCTTCTTGTGATAGTGGAAATGTAAACCAAGAGCTCTCTACCACCGAGCTACACCCCCAGCCCTTTTTGTTTTGAGTCTCTCAAAGTTGCGGAGGCTGGCCTCGAATTTATGATCGCCCACCTCCGCCTCCCGGATCGCTGGGATTACCTGCATGCGCCCCCACACCCAGATTCACGTTTTTCTTAACTAGTCCGAATGGGATCCTCTCGGCTCTTCAGCAATGAGGACTATATTCTATTTTCTTCCATAACATTCCCACCTCCCCCGACAAGTTCTGCTCATCCTCTTCAGCAATGTGTTTTGTTTTTGTTTTTTTTCTCCCTGCGTAAAAACATCCAACTTTCATTACTTGGTGCGCGGGGGTGGGGTTTTCAGGAGTTTTCTGTCCACTCGGGTCATTTTCCCAGTTCTCACTTTTCCTTTAAGTGCTCTGAACTGTACGCAATTTTCTATCCACTCCCTCCTCCTGCCCCTCCCCTCATTCCGCCGCTTCCTTCCTCTTCGCAGACCCAGGCGTTTGTAAACTCTGGTATTGGCTCCTCGCGGGAGGGAAGCCGGCCTCAGGTTTCCTTCTCCACCCTCACAGCCCTCCGCCGTCACGGGCACTCTCGGTGTCGTCGGTTGAATGGAGCCACTTCCAATCCCCGTCCTAACACAAGATCGGGCACACACAGATGCCCATATTTGTTCAAGGAGTCAAACCCAGCGGCCTGCGTAAATTCTGGCCACTCCTAGACGCCGTCTTCTGGTTCATCCCCTGACACAGTGCCCCAGCCTTCTCTGCCTCCCTCCCTCCTGTGCCACCTCTGGATCCCTCCCTGTCCTTTCCCCCCCTCCATCTCCTCCTCTTCCTTTTTCTCCCCTTTCCTTCCCCAGGGAGATCCTATTCACACAGACCCTTTTGATCTTGACTTTTCTACAGTGGACCTTCATTTCTACCTAGTTGTGTTCTTCCATCTTGCTCCTCTTCCCACCTGATCTGTCCCTCCCTGTGAATGTCCTCAAACAGACTCCCTTCCTGATCTTCATTTCTGCCAGAGATGCCTGCCATTTTTCTAGTCATTGCACCCAGAGAACTCAGACCTGTTTTTAGCTTCCCCCTTACTTCATTTCTCAGACCCCATCCCAGAATGGGTTGCTTCTTCATACCTAGATGATGGCAGTGGACTCTGTCCAGTCCCATCCACAAAACTTCCTCCTCTCCATTGGTAGAGTGGCCTTCCTGAAGAATTGTACAGACTTGCTCTTCTCTTTGTTCTATCATCTGAGACAACTTCTCTCCCATTTCTCCACTACATTAAGTTTGCACTCCTTACCCAATAATTAAGACCTTCTGTAATTTAACCCCACTTGCTTTTTTAGGTTACTGCTACTTTATGCTCTAGTTCACTGTCCTATAAGTATCACAGCCCAGATGCCTTAGCATTCTGCCCATGATCCCCATCTTTGAGCTGGGTCCCCATGCCATGCATGTCTGAACACTCCTGGCCCTCCTGCATCATGGCTCACATCCTTATCTCCTGGATACCTCTCTGCCACCTTCCACTAGTTTTTGTTTGGGTTTGATTTGGTTGGTTTTGTTTTATGTTTTTTGCTACTATAGATTGAACCCGAGTGATGCTCTGTCACTGAGCTACATTTCCAGCCCTTTTTACTTTTTATTTTGAGACACTGTTTTGCTAAATTGACGAGGCTGGTCTTGAACTTTCTTTTTTTTTTTTTGTGGTGCTGGGGATTGAACCCAGGGCCTTGTGCATGAAAGGTAAGCACTCTACCAACTGAGCTATGTCCCCAGCCTGGTCTTGAACTTTCAATATTCCTGGCCCAGCCTCCTGAGTTGCTGAGATTACAGGCACGCGCAACCACACCTGTCTTAGAGTTTGACATCTTGTCCCAACAACAGTTTTAAACTTATTTGGAAACAGGTTATGATGCTCCTAAATCCCATATTTTCAGAACAATTCAGATTTCAAATATTATTCTCCACTGCTTCATATAATGAATCAAAATGCCCTGGAATTCTAACGTTGTCACATTAAACACATCCTTTAGATGGCTTCTTCACTAACTCCTCCCCACAAATCGGCTTAGGCCAGATGAGACTATTACCTTTGTTTACTAAGGGGGAAGTTTTTTTTTGTTTTTGTTTTTTAAACAGGAAACAGCACTGAATGGGAAAAGATAACCTAGAGGTGCATCAAACCAAAGAGACAGGTGTCATCAAGTCCGGATTTGACCAATGTTAACCACCAAGGAAGTCAACAAAATAGGTCAGAGTATAAGCATCTGTACAGGATTGTTCAGGACAGAAATCTGGATTCACTTAACATCTTCCTGGATGTGTCTTTGACCAGGATCTTGTGTTCCTGGCCTGACATCCCACATCCAGAATTAATGGAAAGGTTCGGGATGTAGCTCAGTGGTGAAGCGCATGACTTGCCTGCAGGAAGCCCTGGGTTCAATCCCCAGCTGTAAAAAAAAAAAGGCAGAAGTCATGGGGGGGGGGGTATGTTTTTTTTTGTTTGTTTGTTTTTGTTTTTACAAACCATGACCTATTTTTGCCTTAGGAAATAGATTTTTCTGTGTTTATGTAAACGTTTATATCAATCACTAGGCCACACAGTGAGTTCTCAGTAGAGTCAGGACTGGACAAAATTTGCTGCCTACATATATGATGTCCTTTTTTGTTTTAGGCCACAGAATTCCTGGGCTCTTGTTACCATAGCCCAAGCTCCCATGTGGGCCCACAGAGCTGCCATTCCATATGATGATGCAGTGAATGGGGCAATAGCCCAAATGTGGGGGACAAGAGCAGGAAGATCATAAACCCCATCTCCATACCCATAGGTCAGGACATCTCAGGTCCTCATTTAAAGTTTCTGAACTTTGTATAAGGCAGAGATAAGCCAAAAGAACCAGAGGCGGCTCCTCCTCCTCCTCCTCCTCCTCCTCCTCCTCCTCCTCCTCCTCCTCCTCCTCCTCCTCTCCTTCTCCTTCTATACCTGGGATTGAACCACCAAGCCACATCCCCAGCCCTTTTTTATGTTGAGACAGGATTTCACTAAGTTGCTGAGGCTGGCCACAAACTTGTGATCCTCCTGCCTGAGCCTCCTGAGTTGCTGTGATTACAAGCAAGTGCCACTGCACCAGGCTTCTTCTTTTCTTTCTACACACAAATTCAGGAAGAGGAAGGTTTATTTATCCCACACCCAAAGTTCCAAGTTGTAGGTGGACACAAAACCTTTATTTTATTTTTATGTGGTGCTGAGGATTGAACCCAGTGCTCATGCATGCTAGGCAAGCACTCTACCACTGAGCCACAACTTCAGCTCCTAGATTTCAATTTGTGCCTCATCTAGGTCATGAACTTGGATTTTATGTGACCCCAGACCCACTGACCCTTCTGGTCCTGTTTCCCCTCTTGCCCATTTGCAAGCCCACCTGTGTGAGCCACCCAAGAGTGGCCACAGCATTTCAAACTCTCCTCAGACCAAATTCCCACCCAGAAAACTGGGTCCCTTTCCTGGCCTCTACACTGTTCTTGCCTATGGAGATATCACTCTTGGGTCAGGAGCAACTAGATCATTGTATGGGATTTCTGTCTTCCCCAGAGCCCTATGGGGTACATGGGGACTTGACTTGGTTGCAAAGCTTACCCCCTAGTTTTCTGACCGCACATAGGAAGGAACCTGAGGTAGAATGAGGCAGATCTATAGGCAGAGGCTGGGCTGAGATATTCTGGAAGAATTGACATCAGCTCTCCGGCACAGAACTGTGAGTGATGTTGGTCACTGTGTCGATCATTGTGGCTGGGGGGCAGTCAATCTATTTGAGTGAGTGTACATACTACAATATGTCCACATGCTTTGAGCTTGGTGGATGGGAAGGAATATGGATATGTATTTGCAGATGTTAATATGTACTTTATGGGTGTCTGCTGAAGACCACCCTGTGCAATGTGGGTGTTTTGTGGGGTGTGCATTTTGGCATGGTACATCTGCATGTGGCTGCAGTAGATGTTAATTTGATCTTTCCTCTTTTCAGACATTATTGGTGATGACCTTGCTGTGTTGCCCAAAATTGATAAGAAATATCCCCCAGGGAGAACCAGAGGCCTCTTCATCACTTCCTAACCAGAATGAAAATACTACTAAGTTCATTCATAATTTTTCTGCATCAGGACCTCTTTTAGGCTTCCCTGTCACAAAGATGCAGCCAAGATTAACACTAAGCCACCTCGTGGGAGTTACTCTCAAGAATCAATAACTGGGGGTTGTGGCTGTGGCTTAGCCATAGCGCACTTGACTGGCATGTATGAGGCACTGGGTTTGATTCTTAACACTGTGTATAAATAAATAAAATAAAAGTCTATCAACAACTAAAAAAAGAAAAAATTAAAAAAAAAAAAAAAGAATCAATAACGGGCCTGGCACAGTGGTACACACCTGTAATCCCAGAGACTCATGAGGCTGACGCAGGAGGATCC